GGTCTCTCCCATCTGACTACTTCTATACGCATGTGTATAACAGTTTACCTGTTACTGTGGAGCCAGTTACATTGATCGTTCGATGTGTATCCTGTCTGAAAAAGGTTCCAAGAACACTATCCCGCTTGGCAGCAAGAAGGCAGTAGTGGCTCCATAAGGAGTACAATAATCGAACACTCTGTCAACAACACTGGTTATTCCATATCAATAAGCGCATCCTGTATTAAATTAATCTACAAAATGTACTGACTAATATTAACAGTTATGCTCATGATTACGCATCACTTTTCTTACTACTCCCCTTCTTCATGAACAACAAATTGTATATAAATGCGATTGTACAGTTGAAGAGGAGAATAAATTCGCCGAAAAAGCCACTTCACTGAACTACTTGTCTTTTATTTTTATTCATGTTCAGATGAGAATTTTTCATGAATTAAAAAGTAGTAAGGACCTCTCTATAGTCAAAGAGGTCAATGGATTTTTACCGTGCTTTTTGTGAAACTTAAGGTAATTAATTCAAAAATTATCTTTTCTTTCATATATAATTTGAATGGGCACTTGTTTTTGTCGCGTATAAGCGTATGTGTTATATTTCAAGTATCAGAAGTGTATCACTTAATATAAATCAAAAACACTGTGTTAAAAAAAGTCTGTATATTCAGTTCCATTAGGTTTTTCATTCGGTAGGCGGTTACTAGCAGTCGAATTCAAAATGCGTATCTCATCCTATTCGGGACCCGTTGTCTGGATGTATCTGCAGTCTTCATTGAGTGATGGTGAAACCCATTGAGACTTGAAAGGAGTACAACAACAAGTTCAAACAAGCTAAGCGTTCTCTGATAGATCACTTGGACGACGACCACCACATCCTGTAGGACGGGTATCAGTTGTTATTTTTTAAAGTGGAGTTCGAGTCCTGGTGGATGCGTACTGATGAAGAGTCCCAAACTAGGACGAAACAGCTCTCCAGTAATCCCAGGTTTTCCAATGGTTCTCTTACTAATCTCAGCTCATGATAAAATCCTGTAAAGTGGATTTTGTTTTTTCTTCTGTTTGATTAGACTTCTGTTGATATGTCAGCGCCTAGTGTGAATGCTTCGACGATAAGCGTAGACGTGATATCCGGCTGGCTATAAACTAAAACACGTGTTTACTGCACGACAGCGGTTAGTTGCGTTCTCCTTTGTAGCTGAGTGTGAGTGAGACATAGCCGCCATTATGAGTGGAAGAAATAAAACGCCTCACTTGGTAGCTATCTTCGATCACAGGTGTCTGCGTCTGTCTGTCTGCCGTGTTAGGTGGTAGGTGCACTAATAGGATGGGTAATATTGAGTTTAGGCTTCTATCGAGTGCTATGTTAGCGGTGGGGAAGATCAAACGACGAAGTTGTGAAGCAGGTGCATCAAGTGAGATGGTTAGGACATATTTTACTCATATACGTTTAACCATCGATCTCCTTCCTCGACCGATGGTCAGTGTCAGCTGACATAGGATCGATGAGGCTGGAAAAGGGTTAGTGTGGATGGTCAAACCAAAACTTGGAACCTGTCTATGAATTCGTTAACACTTAGTTTAAGTCATCCAGCCAGCCATGTGAGGAAGTGTAGACTTTTTGGCCGCTGGTTGGTTGATGCCCTCTAGATGCTAAGAACGAATATCTGGAGACAGTTGGTGATATTGCTGAAAATCTTTGTAAATGGCGCGTAAGTATTCAGTCTTTTCTATATGTGATATCTTTTAGACCTTATTGTTTTTCCCTGTTAGTATTCTTTCTACCTCACATTTCTGCATATTACCGTTCTGCTCAATCTCTTTTCTTACTCTTTTGTCTCCCTTCCTGTGCTACATGGAGTAGAGCAAGTTGATCTCCTGCATTTCTGCGCAAAGTTCTACGTCAAAACCAGTCAGTCAGTCGACTTAGACAATATCTGAGGGTTAGCTTGATGGTATTAGGTGGAATACGCCTAACAGTGGAATAAAAGACCCAAGTTTCATACTGATAACTGAATATAATTGCATTCGCAGTGAATTCGCGACAGTGTTCCTACTGGGAGTCGAACCCATCAAAAATCGCCTTAAGAACTACAAAGCGTTTTCCACTAGGCAACTGGACTAAATGACTTTTTATATTTTTTGGATTACAGCTTGATTCAACACTGTATTTTGGTAGAAGTATGGAATTTTCAGCATGGATATCGGTAGCTCAAATTTTGCAGGCCGACCATAGATATCAGGTGTCCGTCGGCAGGGGATGGAACCTCGGACCATGTGCATGGTCGGCGAGAGTCCTAACCACTGTGCCACCGACTAACATCTTGTTGGGTGAGTATCAGTTATTATTTACTGAAACATTTTTTGGAAGTCCCCGTTCATTTAGAAACATTTTGAAAAAGTTCACACTAGTCGCCAACATATTTTATCTGAGATGTTTTGCGCAGCTTTTCAGATAGATAGTATAAGGTTCCAGTAGAAATCCAAATATATACAGGTTATATAGGTCGTACCCAAAGGAATTTATCTTTACGCACTGGTGAACATATTCCTATTTGGCTTGGGAAAAGAGCAACCAAATCATTAAATAGTGCAATTCTGTCTCATCTAGCGGATAGCGAACACAGTATCAAAGTAGATGAGTCATTTACAGTTGTGTATCGAGTACCGAATAACCTCCCCAAAAGCACAGGATTATGCCTCCTAGCCATAGCTGAGGCTTTAGAGATTGATAGAGAGAGACCAGGCCTATGTGTACAGAAAAAAATTATTCACTCTGTTTGTCTACCCTGGCCCACTATAAGGTCACCAGGATCATCATTTTTCGTACTCTTATTATTATCGTTATTATTATTTTGTGATATCATGTCTTTATTATCCATTTCTCCACCCAGTTTATTTTACCTCATTGTTACCCTTACTTTTTGTCAACCTTTATGATGTTATACTAAGCCTAACAATTCTGTAACATCTTATTACAATTTACAATTTAGCCTCTTTATTTTATCATTAGACATTATCGGTCAGCCCTCACATTCAGCGCCTCCTTTGTTAATGTGTATTTGTATGTATTTTGTGGTTGCCGCATTTCTCTTACCCCAATGACACTTGTATTCTGTTTACTATAAAACAACACTATATCACCCAATTGTTCATTCACACTTCATCACAATTTTCTGACTAAACACCCCATACACATTAAATTGACCATGATAACTAATAGACTATCACCTCAACCTACACATGCACCCCAATACAGTTTCTGATATTATTTTCATTTGCCTTTATTGGCTATATTATTATTATTGTTCCCTTGGGTTCCTAGTGGAACATAGGGCTTCAACTCCACGTCTCCACTTGCTTCTGTCTTTCTTCCTCCTTCACCTGCATCCATGTCAGTCTATACTGTTTCAGCTCCTCTTCACACGATGTCCTCCATGTCACCCTTGCACTGACGTCCCACTCGCCACTTCCTTTCGGTATAGTTCTACTCAAGCAATGGCCTGACGCGCGCGCGATGTCACCCAGTGGCCTCCTGAGCCGCGAGTGTCCAATCCATCTCCACTTTCTCCTGCATATTTATTGGTTGGCGATTGGCTCTTGTTTTGTTTTTTTGTTTGTTCCCATAGTTTCTTGTTGGTGATTCTTTCCGGCCCGGCCATCTCATCTGATCTTCAGTATAGAGCGAAGACAGTTAATTGTTGATGAAGATCTGCAATAGCCTGTTAGAAATATTCGTTGTGACCCGCCAAGTTTCTGATCCGTATAGAAGAATTGACTGACCTGACGTTTGTAGTGAAAATCCGATCGAATTTTGTTGTTGATGCTGGCTAAGTGACGAAGATTTCCAGATTGGTTGTTTCAGGTTGATGAATGTGTTTCCCGCCTGCCTTCTCGATTCTCGCTCGATTTGACATCTTCGTCCGTTCCGACTGCCTGTAGTTAAGACAATTCACCCTAGATAAGTGAGTGAATGAAGTAACCTCTTTCAAATCCCTCCCGTTGGTGGTGAGTGGCGCTGGATGTTGCTGTTGGCTGGTTTTTTTCATAACCTCCGTCCTGCCTATGTACACTTGGAGTCTTGTCTTTGCTGCTTCTTCGACCAGTTTATCGGTCGGTTTTTGCTCGTAAGTCTTCGATTGGGTGTGACATCAAACATAAATCATCCACACACGAAATCCAGGTCTTCTACGTTCTTCACGTCGGTCCAGGATATTCTTGTCTTCTCGTTTCCCACTGTCTGACGCATAATCCAGTCAGTTCACCACAATTAGGAATATCATTGGTGATAGGTAATAAGCCCCCTTATCTGACTATTGTGTTTACTCCAAATGCCTCGCTGAGTTTTCCGTCGTGGATCACTTGATATGTGCCGTTATTGTCGTACAGCTGTTGAATAAGGTTGATGAATATTTGGGGTATACCGTACTCTATTATTCATGGATTTAGAACTAACTGTAGAGCCTGAAGAAGAAGTTATCGAAACCACAATTGCTCGCTCAAAATCTTGTTTTAAATCCAAATAAAATCAACCATATACGTAAATTTGTCACAATAAGATGCGACTAATTAGATAAAATACTCTTCAATACTTTCAAACAATGGATTTGGTGTTGAATTTTCGCCATCTAGTTTACTTTAGGCGGATGACATTAACAGTCTTTACACAATGTGTGTGTGTGTGTGTGTGTGTGTGTGTGTGTGTGTGTGTGTGGGTATGACTCAAAGGCAAGCACACTGAAAAAATCTGTCCAGGTAATTCAGACCAAACTGACCACCCACTGATTGAAGGTATTCACCCAAGTATTTCAGAAGACTTCTGTGTGTGGGGGGGGGGCGAGGGTAAATTCCACTTGATAAATAAATTTAAAAAATGATAATTCACATTGTACTCTTCATATAAAACTATCACTTACCATTCCATTGTGATGTACACGATGCTTTTACATGAATAGTAACAGGTACAGATGAATTATACGGCGCTGGAAGATGGCAATCGAATGCTGTCACATTGAATTCATAACGGAATCTGTATGATTATTAAATCTTTTCAATGATCGAATAACACCTGAACAGAAAAAAACAAAGAATATGAAAAAAACATTAAATTTATAATTTATTAGCCTATTGAAAGTGCATCAATAGTTCAGCAGTAAAGCACTGACCAACCATGAACGTGGTCCGGGACTGGAGTCCTGGCCAGTGCACACCTTTATCTCTCTCATTCGGTTACCATCTCGACAAGGAAGGAAGTTAAGGTGTGAGGCTAGCAACCTCATCCCGTAAATAATACACACCAATGCTACCGAAACTTCCTACCTCTAGCTTGAAGCCCTATATTCCACTTAAAATAAAAGAGTAATATTTTATGCATGAATGTGGTGTTCAAAAGCGACCTTCTGACCGACATCCTGAAGAGGTGAATATCTAACGCCTTGAAAATAACATTCATTACTGCTACATTACGATTGGTATTCTCATAACGCCGATTGTTCTTTCACAACTCTAAAGAAAAAAACCATTACATATGACCACTTCTGTGTGTATCTATCAATTTACTTGCTCATGTGGAAAGAGATATGTAGGACGTCCGATGCGTGTTTTACCTAAAACAGTCAAAGAACATTATCCCACCTAGCTACCAAAAAGTAACAGTGGATCAATAAGGAGTGTCACAATTGAACATATAATCAACACTGATCACTCAGTATGTAAAGAGAATTCATTTAAAGTCATCTAAAAAGAAAAATGAGATACAATTGGTGGATGGTGGCTAGCAGTGGAATCCAGGATGCGAATTTCGTCCTAATTGGGACTCGTCAGCTGGATGTACCTGCATTTTTCAGTGAGTGATGATGTTCCCACTGAGGCTAGAACCCAGTGCCCATAGTTTCAAACGCCAAAGCGTTATCCACTAGACCACTTGGAAAGATGTCACTGAGGCTCGAACCCAGTGCCCATAGTTTCAAACGCCAAAGCGTTATCCCTAACCCTAACCCTAATATGACCCGTTGCACAAGAGGTGGCTCTCGTGGCCCAAGTCGCCTAGTGGATGACGCTTTGGCGTTTGAAACTATGGGCACTGGGTTCGAGCCTCAGTGGGAACATCATCACTCCCTGAAAAATGCAGGTACATCCAGCTGACGAGTCCCAATTAGGATGAAATGCGCATCCTGGATTCCACTGCTAGCCACCATCCACCAATTGTATACCAATTAAATACCCAGACATCGTCGAAGCATCTGCACAAGAAGCCGACATGTCAACCTGAGACCGAGCACTTCGATCCAATCAATCGACGGGAAAATCAAAAATTCAATTCAGTAAAAATGAGACTCCAAAAAACGGTGAGTTCCCACATACTTTGCATTGACAAGGCCTTAGCCGTCCAGATAGAAAACTTCTGCATCGTCTTCTTCTACCTGGGGTTTCATTCCATTGTCTTATATCACAATGTTGTTTTGTTGTTTAGACAAAGGTGCCAAATATTTTCGTAGTACTTTCCTAGACTACACATTTGCTTTTGACTCTGTACCTAGGGGCCTTTTATTAAATAAGTTTTCGTGGACACAAACAGGATCTTGGGCTAAGAGTTGGTTGCATTCCTATTTTTCTGATAGAATGCAGTATACTGTATATAATGGCAAATCTTCTTCTGCCTCGCTTACAAAACCGGTGTTCCACAAGGTGCTGTCCTCTCTCCTTTTCTTTTTTCTTTCTTGCTACACAACCTACCTCATTTAAACGAAAATAACTTTGTCAAATATGCAGATGATCTGACTGTATCACTACCTATCACTTCCGAGTCTGACTGCTCCAAACTTAATAGCTTTCTGTTGGACATCAACAAATGGTCCAAGTCAAATGGTCTTATATTAAATCCTTCCAAATGTCAGGCAGTTGACTTTACTTTCAAGTATTGACGTGACTTACATGAACTAGTTAGTTCGCATGATGCCTGTAGCATAGATGGCACGGAAATTAAAACCAAGTCAAGCATTAAATACCTTGGATTAGTTCTTTCCTCTGACCTTTCATGGTCATCCCACATCTTATCTATCTCTAAGAAAATGTTTCGTCTTACCTTCTACATTAAAAAGTTAAGACAATCAGGTATCAACCAACCTTTAGTTTTGCAATTTTCAAACTCCTGTATTTTACCTATTGTACTCTATTGCTCTCCATTAATCTTTCCTGGGCTTCTCAAAAAAGACTATATCATATTACGAAGAGTATTAAATGCTGTGAGTAGAGCTTGTGGTCTGCCACTGCATGAGCTCGCTAATACTATAGTCGAGAGGCATATAAATTCCTGTACGAAATGGCCAAAGGCTGTACTGTCAGACCCTCTGCACCCCCTTTATTCACAACTATCCCCTTGTATCTCATCAGGTAGGACGAGAAGTCAATATAAAAAGTTATATGCTCGTACCACTAAGTACAGAAATTCTACAATACCCTATTTAGCCCGTACTTTATGTGACGAAGACTCTGTTAGACGTGAAACACATAAGTTACTATGTAATTAGCACAGTGAATCGACCCTTTCATTGTTCATCTTTCTGTATTTTATGGTGTCACACTTTCTATCGTTTAATTATAACTCTGCTATTTTATTTTAGTTGTTGTTACTATTATTACTACAATTTTATACTTTATGCATATTTTTCTCCGTATTGCATATAGTATTTTGCTATGTAACTGCTATAACAACGTTTTATTATTATTATTATTATGTAATGTTTATTTTCTAATTTTTTTTGTCGTTTTTGAGTAAATTAGATGCAATATTATACTGAATGCTGAAAATTCCTTGCTGTATCATTAGTACTGTTTTTGGAATAAAGCAAATTATCATTATCATTATTTAATTATTTCGTTATTAATACTAATGTGTGGAATTTTCGTATGACATTCGAGTAATACCTTTTTCCTGACTGACCCGTCATTCACTCTTTCAACATACTACATAATTTATTTTGCACACATGTCTCCATGGTCTTTCATTAACAACCTGTTTTTCTGAACGTCCTTCATGTGACGTAATCCTAGTCAAGACTTACTAATCTTCACCCCTCCCACTAGTTACAATTTGATTATTCACCACATTTTTGGAATATTTTGATGACGTATTAATATTATTATTGTCTGACAAACCTAGTGTACGCACACACACTCACAGATTTGATTCTTTTAAATTTTTATTTGGATTACAGCTTGATGCCACACCGTATTTTTGGTGCAAGTATGGAATTTTCAGCATGTGATATCGGTAGCCCAAATTTTGCAGGCCGACCATAGATATCAGTGTCAGTCGGCAGGGGATCGAACTCCGTACCATGTGCATGGTCGGCGAGAGTCCTAACCACTGTGCCACCGACGCACAATTAATAATGTGTGATTGAGATTGCACAGCTAAGTTAATGAATTCGTCCGAAAAGGAGACTCTTCATTGAACTGTTTCTTCTTATAACAGGAAAACAAATTGTGGTGAAAAATTTAAACTATGAAAATCTTTCTAGTCTAAAATATTCAGGGTACTTATTTAATATAAACGAAGCGTAAGAGATCTCGTTTTTCAAGTGTTGGTTTGTAGGGATTTGGTTAATTGGATACAGGATTTCATCATGAACTGACATTAGTTAGAGAACCATTGGAAAATATGGGAGTACTGAACAGCTGTTTCGTCATAGTCTGCGACTCTTCATCAGTACGCACCTACGTTTTCTTTTGAATAATTTAGATTCAAATTCGGAAACAAATTATTGGCATTTCCAAGGAAATTTAAGAAAGTTTATTCACTGAGATTTAAAAAGGTGTAGCAAATAACAACAGCAAATAATCTGTTCAGTAAGAGTAAATCGCATATTATCTTTTATTCTCTCTATGAAAGTAATGAAAGCTGAATTTTTTGAAAGCAACTTGGTGCAAATCATTCTTGATGTAAGATGCTTTTTCAAAGGATTCAACAGATGAACTTTTTTCCTTTCGGTTCCGAGTGGACAATAATGCTTCAACATCTCCACTTTATTTAATTTTCTCATCGCTTCTTTACCTGGGTCGACGATTTCCTATAATCTTTCATCTTAACCTCGGACGATTTCTATCTTATCGGACCCTATTAGAGGTTTAGCTGACACTGGTGAAATCATGATAGCCACTCTCTCAGTGTGCTCGTTGTTGTCGTCTGAGTGACGAGAGTGAAGTAGATTACTGACTCTCCAGTTGGCAATTTGGTTTGTTCATATCCATTGCATCTGCTCTCACAGATTCTGAGAACTTTTAAGTTATAACTTCTCATTTCTTTGGCTACCTGGGAAGCCTTCCCAGCTTCGTATATCGTACGAAGATTCCACTTCCCCATTCTTATTTCCGCTTCCATTGAAACAATAAGACATCGGCTAACTGCTTTTCTGAAATCTCTCACCAAGCCCTCTGTGTTATTTCATCTCTCCAAATCAAACGCAAAATAAGTTGTGTTTTTTAAAAATATTTTTCTTGTTTACTGAAATTTCCGTAGCAGTTAAATTGATTTTTAGGGAGTAGGGTCGCTAACCCCATTCTCAACCTTGTTTGTCTTCTTTCAGGTTCGAAACCGGCTAGAAAACTAGCAAGCCAACAGACTAGGTAAGGTTGGTGAGGTTATACATTACGGTAATAATCTTTTTACTCACTCAAGAAAAGATATCCCAGCGTCTTTATAAGAAATAATTTATTTTTCTAAATAGTTTACGGTTTTAAACAAAAACAACGTAACATTATTTTAAAAAAAATTGAATATTGAACAAAAAGTTTTTCTGTTCATAGTCAAATATATCTCTCAAAATCAATATGTCAGTAAAGACTCTATATTCCATCCAAATTTTAAAAAATCTTTTTAAAAATGTCTTAAGTTTTTAATTTTCATAAGAAATGATAAAAGTCATTTATTAAAAGGAAATAATCAAGAGAGTTTTAAAACGGAAATTTCTTATCACCGACTACACATTAATCTTTTTTGTTTTGTTTTTGTAGACGACTCTAGTGAACGATTATTTTTCATTGGCAAAAAGAGAATTTTTTTTCTTA